GAAAAATACCTCCTAGGAAAAGAGCTTAAGCCATTTACGAGTTGCTCGGTCTTTCTAGATGCCCGTGCGACACATGGTACGTGTACACTTCGGTGTTTGCGGACTGGAGTGATGTTGGCCATTCGAACGAGGTCGGATCAAACATCACGTGGGAATCAGGAGGTGTATCGGTAGAATTGACACCGTTTGTACCGATCTCGAACGACACCGCGATGTACTTGTACATTGCATAGTCGTAGTAGTGAAAGTGGAGTCTTGGGGTCGGTGTGATGGGTGGGAGTCGCGAACCACCTAAAGCATTTGGCTGGCCAGGCATACGAGTAGCGAACGTGTTTTTCCCTTGGGGTTAGGTATCACTATGAGACTACCTACGCCTATACGATTATGATAGAGTCCTTTGATATGATGATGTACGATTACGATATGATTATGCATGAAATACGATTGATGTTACACTAATGAATGATACAAAATTGAATGACTGAATTTTATGCGAAAGATGATTGATTATTGATTGATATGTGAATTTTGTTCATATGATCATAATTTGAATGAGTGACCCGTTAGGGGATGGTATGTTTTCCCTTTGGTTGTGTACAAACTCCTATTGGCTCACGAAGCATTTGCTGACACTTGTTTCTTTGCTTTGTGCCTTTACGATTGGTACATGTATCTTAGCAGCTTGGCTTGGTGAGATGGGGTCACTTTTGGGTAGTTTATCCTTAGAATAAAGATGCCACTTGGACACGTTATTTAATTTTGAAACTTATGCTTCCGCTACAATTAAATACTTTTGTTATTTTGGTTTTGAATTGAACGTAACGTTGTGGTTTGAAATGTTTTTGAAATGAACGATGTTTACAATCTTCCGCTGCATTTTCCGTTAAAAGATTTTAAAAATAAATGAAACAAATTTGGGTGAAAAATCATGACATTACACCGAGCCCACACCATAAGTCTAGCTTGCCTTTCTAGCTCACAACTTATGTATGGCTTGCTCCCGGGTTTGTTGGCTTCTGCACAGAGCAATGTGTGCCTTAACCGAACCACACTATTTCGACATATGCAACAAATAAATATATAACCAAAAAACAGATAATCATACAGATCTAACATGTCACTATAACATAGCAACATCCTAAATCAGGATACATAATCTACTGGGTTGACATTTGTGCCTTCGAACCCGAAGTACGGTGAGGAAACTCACCTCACTATCTAAAGAAATAGCAGAAAAGAATGATGTTCCAAGTGTCAACTCTACAAGTCACCTATACAACAAAAAGTAGCCTAAACTCAAACTACAGCTCAAATTACCCAAAATAACCCTCAGTACAACTTGGTCAAAATTATGGTCAAAGGAAAAAGTCAAAAGGTCAACGGAGTTGACGAAGTCAACTTAGACTGAGTACGCTCGGCGTACTCAACCGCTACGCCCAACATAGTGCACTCTTAGCCAGATTACGGGGTCTCGACCAGATACACGCAATGTACCATCAGGTACGCTCAACGTACTCGACTGAAACCCTTTTTCACCCTTTTTCTCTATTAAGACACCATGTCCAAAACTCAGATCTAATTCCAATTAACATTCTAAGTCATAAAGTTTCAAACTTTAGGACTTTCCAAGGCTAGAAAGGGCCCAACAACTAAACCCTAACTTAATACACAAACCAAAACCGCATATCTCATGCATGAAAAAAGGAAAGGGACTAAGATCACATTTTTTATGGTTCTTAATAGCTCCGTAATGGATAAAGTTTCCAATTTTATCCATTAGGATGATCCAAATAACCAAGATCTAGTCTTTAAGTCTTAAAGCGATCAAAATGCATCTTTGTCAACGTAATCCATTAAGTCCAAGTCTCCAACCTTCAAATCTGAATCAATATGATGTTTAGATGGATAACGTTTCCAACTTTATCCATAACAAGGTCACAAACTTTCAAGGTCTAAACTTTATGCACTAAAGTGACCAAAAAGTGACAAATATGAAAATTAACAAGATCTATGAAACTAATGAGTAAGTTTGAAGCTTTTTACTCACAAAGGACCAGAAATGATGTAATCTTGTTGGATCTATGCTTGAATCCTTCTTCCATACACTTTGCCACCACCTTGTTCTTTAAGATTACACCTTATAATGGAGAAATAAGCTCATAAATGATGCCAAGGATCAAAATAAGTGAGAGGAGGATTGGGTTTGGAGTTAGAGGCTTAAGAGGGTGAAGGCTCATGATAGGAAGGACCCCCAAGGGGTAAGAGACCGTAAATAGGGCTCAAAACTATGAAGTTAGAGTTTTAACACTATGACGGTACACCCAATGTACCAAAAGTTATGCGCATCGTAACACCCTAAAAATGCATATCTTCAGCCTAGTACACCCAATGTACTACCTAGTGTACGCCCAACGTACTACCAAACTTCCTTTTCCAGCTTAACTTCAAACATCCATAACTTCTTCATTTCAACTCCCTTTTCAGCACTCTTTATATGCACGGAAAGGTATTGAAGAGCCCCACAATCCTATTTAATTACTTTTGACTCAACACATACCGAACTAAAACTATTAATTCATGAAAGAAGTCAAAAACACCGTTTTTCCCATTTTACTGTGACTCGAAAACACAAACTAAGATCTTGGATCACATAACCAATACTATACACATCCAATGGGGTCTAAACCCTATTCCTTGAAGCCCAAGGCCTTCACTTGATCCATTTATTGTCCAAAATCCTAAAATAAGAACTTCTCGAAACAGGATGTTACAAAAGGTCCATAAAAATTATTACTTTATAGACATGAATACTCCATGCATGTCCTTTATCCATTCTAGGCGAAAGGTGAAGAGATGACACCAAAACTCACAAGCATGGATCCAAAACTAAACCAACTTCTGGATCTGAACCTTATAATACAAAAGGGACCCTTAGAATCCATAAAGTTGCTAACTTTATGGATCCTTTCCAATCAAGCTTGCTCAATCATGAAGAAAATGGGACAAAAGCTAGATCTAGCAACATAGAAGCATAAAGGTTGAATCTTGGACACTTACAAAGGTCCAGAATGAGCATAAAATGATGGTGATGAGGTTTCCTTGCTAGATCCACAACTAGAACACCTTCTTCTGATTCTCCGTCTCCTTCTTTAAGCTCCCAAATGTACTAATAGGCTAAGAACCATGAATAAAGATTAGGGTTAGGGTTTTTCTGAGGTTTAAGGGTGATGGAGGCTGATAATAAACCCTAGATTCGAGATAATGGGGCTTAAATACGAGGGAAACCCTAAAATATCATGGGCTTGGGCTGCAGCCTTCCTCTCGTCGTGACCACCTATGGGTCACGTCGTAAGCACAAACCCGAATACATATTTCTTACTTGGCTAGTCACGTTGTGACCACCCTATGGTCACATCGTGACACCCGATTTTTCCCAAAAACCATACTTTTGACTCCTTAAAGCCCTAAACTGAACCATTGTGGAATACGAATGTCAGATCTGATGGGATGTAGTCTGAATAACTGGCAAATTGACGACTAGAGGTATGCATCGGGCCTGATGGTTGCATTGGAGGTGGTCCATTAGGGCCCATTGTGTCGTTGGTTCAAAAACTGTACTGGTTTCGTGGGTATGATTAGCCTAATGATTTGTAAATTGGTTTGATCCATGAGAAGGGTATGGTGATGGCGATGAATTTCATGATTGTGAGTTCTTCCAACTTTGTTGATGCCATTTTTTTCCTTGGTTCTATTTTTGGTGGCCATGACCTCCACGTCCCTTGAAACTTCTGTCATGTCCGCGAACAATTGAACATCGACCGCGACTGCCTGCACTCTACCCGAATAGTTGTTATAGGTGGGAGTTTGACTATGTTAACCAACTGCAACGTTTGGTGATGATCAATCGACTGAAGTAGGAGCAATAAGAATAGTTTGAGTTTGATTTTGTATAGTGGTTTTTCTGTGTTGTTCCAGCTGTCACATGCTACGAGCCATCTACCATGATGGAGAGCTTTGATTGATATATGCCCCAATGATATCAAATTCTGGTGGTAGTCTACGAACCATCTGTAAGATGAGTGTTGCTTCAGTGACAGGGTTATCAACATCTCCTAGTAGGTCTGCTAAATCTTTCAATTTCTGACAATAGGCTTCCATTGGCGAAAATGCAGCCATATTGAGATTTGAAAATTCTTGTTCGAGGGCTGCTACACGAGAGCCTTTGTTATTAATAAATTTTGCTTTGAGTTTGTTCCATGCATCTTGAGTAGTGGTATCACTTTCTAGAATTCGAACCATTAGTTCATCGGGTAAAATGTTGTATATCCATTGCAAAACAAGTGCATCAATCTCCAATCTCCACACACTGAAGATAAGTAGGATTGGTTTCCTTCAGAGTTGGAGTGTCATCAGTATGATCGAGCACCTTGTAGGCTTTGGCATGAACACAGAACAATTTTGTCCACGAGGAGTATGTAACGTTGGTGCCATCTAGGGTTCATATCTTGGTTTGAATGTTTGTTACAGTGTACGTTGAATGTAGAGTTGTGGCCTTCACTTCGCTTGAACCAACATCATCTTTGCCCATGATGGTGACCTCTTGAAGGAGAATGAAAGGGAGAAGATCGAAGGCATATGAATATGCTTAGATAAAGTTGTAGCGATGGATTGAAGGGTAGCTGTCTGTTCCAGGGTTGTGGCTGTGATACCATAATAGCGATTACAGAATCATGAATTGGTTTCTATTGATAAACAATGCCCTATATAATGTATATATATATAGGATAAATGCAAACGGACACACCCATATAATCAGGAGATATAATATGAAATAATACAATAAAATACATCTTCCAAATATATATTATCCTAATATATGATCGACTAATACAAAATGTACCTCAAAATGTTATATTTTATTCAATACATCTATTCCATTTATGCTAACAAATACTAAAGTACTCCTATACTGAACAAAATAAAAACCGAAAATATTGACTAAGAAGTAACCTCAAATATTTTTAAGCGTTTCCAGGATATGTTGCAACCCGTGGACAACATTTTTGATATTCATCCGTTGTGGTGGGGAATCCGCGGAGCATGATACACCAATCTTGATAATTGAAGCCACACAATGTTCTATATTATTTGCATTTTCTAACTTGCCTTGCTTAGAAATAGCATCCTCTTGAAGAAAAGGTAGAATGTCATTATCGATAATATTGGTTATAGAGTCTGGCAAGGTTGTGTAAGCAAACTTATGAAGGTTAAGATCTTCGCCAAAGATGTTGTCTGTTGGCATTTTTCCTGTCATCACCTCCAATACTAGTATCCCAAAACTGTAGACATCTCCACTAGTTGTCATCTCACTCCCGAGACCATACTCTGCAACTTATAAGCAATTACTTTAGAGAAAGGTAATACTAGAGATAAATAGGAGCATCTCAGGATAGATGAATCTTACCCGGAGGTGCATAACCGATTGTTCCTCTAATCACAGTTGTGCTGTTTTTGTTTGCATGTGTTCCAAGAAATCGAGTTAAACCAAAATCTCCAACATGGGCCACCATATTATCATCGAGTAGAATGTTGCTAGGCTTCAAGTCACAGTGAACAATGGTTGATATGCAGTGATTGTGAAGATAGTCGAGTGCAAATGCGACATCAATGAGAATATTTATTCTTTGAAGAAGGTTGAGTCTGGATTTACTTGCGGGTGAATGCAACCAATCATGTAAACTTCCATTGGGCATGAACTCGTATACCAAAGCTTTGAACTCATTGCCTTGCATGTCAACACTCGAACATGAAGTTATTATCTTCAACAGATTCCGATGTCGAATACTCTGCCATGCTTCACACTCTGTTATAAAGCTTTTGTGTGCACCTCGGTTTTGAAGATGCATTACTTTGACTGCAACATATCCATCATCATGTTTAAGGATTCCTTTATAAACAGAGCTGAACCCACCCTTGCCAATCAAATTTTCTTCGGAGAAGCCATTGGTAGCCTTGAAAAGTTGAGTATATGATATTTTCATGAAGTGTTCATCCGTTGATGATTGAGAATGTTGGCCTTTCTTTTTCTTACACCAAACATAGACAAAGCATAACACCGTGAAAAATGTGAATGCAATCAAAATGACTATAGCAAACAGTGGAAATCTTTTTTTAGGTTTGCGTGTCTCCTTGCATTTGAATAACCCAAGTTCAGCCAAGCCACCACAAAGCCTACGATTCCCCAAAATAGAAAATGCACTTGCATTGGCAAACACTCCTATAACTGGTACTTCACCCTCAAAATCATTGAAGGATAGGTTTACATATTCTAATACGATCAACCGTTGTAAGAATTGAGGAATTTGGCCTGATAAATTATTATGAGAAAGATCGAGTGTGGAAACTCCTCTCATGGAACTTAATGATGGTGGTACCATGCCATTAAATAAGTTACCTTTAAGTGATAAGAATGAAAGGCTAATGCAACCACCAAGGCTACTAGGAATGCTACCTGATAAGTTATTGTCAGATAAATCCAAAGAAGTCAGCATCTTGAGGTCACCAACCTCTATTGGAATTGACCCAAACAGGTTGTTTTTAGAAAGATCTAATGCTATGGTTAGAGATAAAAGTTGAAGAACTTGTTTTGGTATTTGGCTGCTGAGTTTATTGTCATCAAGCTTCAACTCTAATAGATTATAACAATTTCCCAAGCTTGATGGAATATGCCCATCCAATCTATTGGAATGTAACCAAAGTTTAGTCAACAATGATAAGTTCCCAATGGCATCTGGAATCGGCCCCGAAAATTGGTTCCTATCTAGATAAGCAATTTGTAGGTTTTTAAGCTTAGAAATGGTATAAGGGATTTTTCCTGTGAACTGATTATTAGATAAAACTAAAACTTCTAAGCCGACTAGATTACCTATACTTGAGGGGAGGTTTCCATATAAATTATTTCGTAGTATAACAAGAAGCCGAAGTTGATCAGAAAGATTACCAATTGATGCGGGCAACAATCCCTGAAACTTGCAATTCCGAAGATCCAATCTCTCTAATCTGCTGCAGTTTTTCATTGTCTCAATAAACTTCATATCATCAGCTTCTCCGAATCCATAGACATTATCACCCAACGTTATTGACTGGATATCATTTAGTTTTGAAAAGTCGATTGTCAGCTTCCCAATAAAATTATTGTTGTTCACCTCAAGAAGTCCTAATTTCGAACAATTAGATATCGAGGGTGGAAGAGGTCCGGTTAGTTGGTTATTCCTTAATTGAAGATACTCGAGATGAGGGAGCATTTCACATAAGGCTGAGGGAAGATTACCAACAAGCTGATTTTCAGCCAAGGAAAAAGTTATTAGGAGTGAGAGGTTATAAATGGAATGAGGGATAGTTCCATTTAAGTTACTATAACCCAAACTAAACTCTGTTAAGTTTTTCCAATTCCCGAAGGTGTCTGGAATGCTCCCACCCAACGGGTTGTAGAAAGCATTTAACACTTTCATTGATGTTAAATTCCCCAAGACAGCTGGGATTCCACCTGTTAAGTTATTATACTGAAGTAAAATAAGAGTAAGTTTCGAGAGGAAACCTATCTCTTTGGGTATGCTTCCAACTAGATTGTTTTCATAAAGTCCAATTACTTCAATATTAGAACAACCAGACAAGTTGGTTGGAATGACTCCGTTGAATTTGTTAGAGCCAAGTTGGAGGTAACGTAACCTGGATAGACGACCAAGTTCATGAGGGAGGGTTCCATGAAAGCTGTTGTTCCAGAGAAATAACCCACGAAGAAAACTGAGGTTCCCTACATAAGGAGATATCGAGCCTTGTAGGCCTTGTGAAAACATGTTTAGAGCAATCACTCTTCTGTGTCGCTTCCCACATATAACACCATTCCAATCACAGAAATGAAAGGAAGCGTTCCAAGAGCTTAGAGATTCGTATGGATCCAGAGTGATCATGGACTTCAACTGCAATAACGCCCAATGATCAGTCTCGTTTCCGCCAATAGAAGCAGAAATGGTGGTGGTAAGCAGAAACATAACAAGACTAAAAAAGAAGAACTCAATACGAAAGTTCATTTTTGGAACTAAATTTAGGAGTAGGGTTAATTGCATGCTGGCTTTTAGATTTATACCCAGTTTTTGAATGTGAATGTACGTGACATCCACTGATACAAAAAATCCCTTATCACCTTGACCAAGTCAAATTTAGGATTTAAATAGTCAAATTACCTATAGGATATTGCAACTAAATTGATACTCATTTTATATTTACTCTTTAGTTGTTTCAATAATATTATTTATATATGTTAAATGGTATTAACGTAATAGTGAAATTAATGACAACTTCAGGACCCTACGCATATCAACATAACCACTGCCTGTCCGCATTTAATTCCATTATGCAGAACTTATATATGGTGATGAGACGTCCAACGAGTTCATGTAAATCAAGTAACCACACAATCTCAATAGACATATGCATAAGTTATGATGAAAATGATTTATGTAGGGCATATAACTTAATTCCAGTAGCTGGAGGATAATTGATCAATTCTATAAAATTTGATTAATTTGCCTTTATAACTTTTTACACAGCGCATATATCCTTCTAATCTGAAATGATCGACTAACTTGCTCTCATGATATCTTTTTTATACTTCTTTCTATTTAATTTAAAGTTGTATTAGATAAAACATAAGAGGGCCCACCCCACCTCAACCCACCTCGCTCTCCCTTTCCTAATTTCATAGTGAGAGACAATCAATGACCTCGTTACCCTGCTATATAAATTCATAGGGATTTGTTGAGAGTGGATGCCACAAGAGGATTCATAGGTTTAAATCAACGTCTAAGGAGGAGATTTGTGTTTTGTTGTTCTGCATCTTTATAAAAATAAAAAAAATAAAAAATAAACCCATCCCATCATCTCGCACGTATTAGAAAAGAATACGTCATCATCTCCTATGTTTAGCTGTTGTGTTTTTTGGAAAACTGAGGTTCAAATGGTTGCGGGGACTTGATTTGGATTTTTTTAAGTTCGGCAACTTCAAGATCAAACCTAAATCGAAACAAACCCGGATCAACCTACAGCCACGACATGTCGACATGTCGTGACTATAGCGACGAGATGTCATGGTTATAGCTTGACTTATGATGATGACATGTTGCGACTATAGGTTAACCTACAGTGGCAACATGTCACTATAGGTGGACCTACAACAGTGCCATATCGGTCACCATAGGTAAACCTATAGCAACGACATGCCGTCGCTATTGGTCAACTAATGATGACAGCTGCAAGCCGTCGGTACATAATTTATTAGGTTTTTTTTTTTTTTTTTTTTTTTTTTTTTTTTTTTTTTTAAATTTCTTAAAAGGATATAGCGACTAACTATAATGATGATATGTCATCACTAAGCCCTATGGCCTAACTGTTAGTATTAAGGACTTTGACAAACACATTTATCTGGACGATTAAAGATGGAAAAGATTGAAACAAGAACACAGGGATTAAAGTGGTTCACTTCAAGCTACCTCCACTAGAGAACTACAGAGAAAATTTATCGATAATCTTCAAAAATACGAAAATACATTAAGGTTACAATCAATGACATTATTTATAGAGAATGTTTGACCTATAATTCTTCTTGGACCGAGCCCATGGACCCATGACAACATCGACATAAGTTGGCCCATGAACACACAAACTTGTTTTCCAAAAAACTGGATGAACAATTTTTTCACTTCTCCACTGCCAGTAGCCTCTTGTATTCTCAGCTTTACAGCCTCTATCCTCAAGACTCTGTTGACCGAGACCTTTGATGCTAATAGAAGTTTGTAATGATAATAAAAGTTTGTAATGCTTTTAGAAGCTTCTAATGTTTATAATAAAAGTCTGTAATGCTTATAAAAGCTTCTAATACCTTTATCTTAGATTAGTATCCACATCTCAACATGGACGACGACATGTATTTTGTTTCAACACTAATTTAACATAAGACATAAAACTTACTTGGTGGGGATCCAATCTTCATACTAGGATTAGTAATCGTTCAATGACTTTATTATATTCCCATTATGATTATTATATATTTTGCAATCTTGAAAGAGAAAAGGTATTCATCTCTATTGTATCTTGTACCTTGTAAGTTTAGAGCATCCAAGTGATATAAACCACATTCGGAAAATAAGTTATCAATGTACCAATAATGGAAAATACTTTAGTTGGAGGACCAATTATAAGTTATCAATAGCGATAGCAAGGTAATAGCGACAACCTACCTATATGCTACATAGCGATAGCGAATGAATAACGACGGCTATTTCATGTTAGCGATTGCGTATTAAAAAATTAATACTATTTTTACCTTCACCTATTTAACAGTTATAACTAATAAATAAGCTAAAAACCAATACTATTGGCTCAAATAAGTTCTAAAACATGAATATTACATAACTGATTAACAATAAACATTCAAATTATAACCGAGAAGAACAGAAATTGTAAATAACTGATTAACAATAAACATTCAAATTATAACTGAGAAGAACAGAAATTGTAAGTACATAGGTGTACAACAAAGAAAGAAACAAAGTGTAAAAGAATCTAAAGAAAAAAAAACTACAAGAATAAACATCTATAGAGACAAAACCTATAGGGACGACAAAAGTCGTCGCTATAGATGACAGCGACGACATATTGTCGCTAGGGTTGACCAAACATTTTTGATTTTATAAGTTAAGTGACAACAAATCCCTCTACTGTTAAAGCAGGAACAAAAAAAATGTTGGCGGGATTCCAAAAACGTATAGGGACGACATATTGTGCCAAAAAAAAAATTTAATATATATACATTTTTTTAATTTGTTTTATTAGAAATTAGGGGCGACGTTGTTTCGCTTGAGGGCATAGGGACGACAAGTCGTCCCTATAAGGTTTTTGCTCTCTGAAATTGGAAGAAGTCTCCCTTTCTCGTTAATTGATCTTTTCTCCTCTTTTGGCTCTCGCTCTCTCAGGCGTCGATTTTCTTCTCACCGGCCACCACAGTGACAACCAGGTAATTGCCGGCCTCCACAGTGACGACCATCTTCGCTACGACGTTGGTCCAACGATTCCTTCTTTCGATCGTAACACCCCCTTCACCTTTCTCTCTCTTTCGATCACAGGTTATCTTCTTGCCGACTACCTCAGAGATGACCAGTTTCATCGTCGACCTCTACTCCTTCGCTTCCGGCGACCTCCTAGTTCCTTCTACTGCTTCCGGCGACCTCATTCCCTTGAGATTGCAGTTCTCTCTCCAATTCCTATTTTCTTCAACAGGTTTGTCTCCTGATTTTGTGATGTATAATTGTGTGATTCTGTTAAATATTTTGTCTGAATATGTTTGAAACTTCATGGAACTGTATGAATATGTTTAAGGTTATTGATTTGTGATGTGAACGCTTGGTTTTGTATGATTCTGTTAAAAAATAATGCTTAAGATTTTTGGAACAAATGGATATTATGAAAGACTCATCAGGTTACCATTGGTACATACATATTGCAATGAAGATCTTATTGGTATTGGCTTTGTGTTGATATATATATTTTTTAAAGTTTGAAGTGTATTGAAATGATGCCTGATCATATGTATTATCTTTCAATTTGCAGGTGCTGCTCATGGAATCCGTAAAGTTACAAACTTCACAATGGAAAAGATATCAGTTTACACAGAGGTATATTTTTCATCAAACATTCTTAATTTTTGATATATAATTACTTATATGTAGTTATTGTTGTGTATATCTCTAAATGAGGTTAAATTAATTTATCAAGTTTGGATTGCTTGGGGAGAAGCTATCAATTTACACAGAGGTCAAGTCATGTATTATTGAGCTAGTACTCATATCTTTCGTACTCTAACCTTAATGGGGTTACCCTTAATCCTATTTCCATGAAATAAAAAATCTATTACGCATTCTTTTACTAATTACGTTGTTGATTTGTACTTCACATATGATATTTGAATCGCCTAGTGGAAACGAGTCGATTGCACTAAACCTTGTTTCAATGGGGAAAGGTGAAGTTTGGATCAATGGCTAAAGTATTGGAGGATATTCTCCTTCACATACATGGTTCGAAACCTGCATTTATCAATGACTGTTTGATTATATTTTTTATAGCATCCAATTGTGATTTGTGACATTTGGTTTATGTTTGACAGGTGTAACGACCCAAAAATCAAGGGTAAATATTTCATTTTTAATATAGCTAAAACATTGATACCATTTATTTCAAACATTTGAAATCATCGTCAAGTAAAACATTTATCAGAGTTCATCCCAAAATCATTCATTGCGGAAATCATAGGTGTGTGCACTGCGATCAATCCGAGCTCTTCTTTTCCAAATCGATGATACCTGAAACCAAAACTGTAAATCGTAAGCACAAAGCTTAGTGAGTCCCCCAGAGCATACCCCACACACAATCCACATAACACATACCATATTAGCTATAAAAGCTACATATATCACATAAGCCATGCATACATAAACCTATAAGGATGCCGTGGGCTCCCCCCAGGGTCTTACACCTTCGTGCCATGGGTTACCCCACATGGTCTTTACCTGGGAATGCCATGGGCTACCCCACATGGTCTTATATCCAACTACCACGGGCTCCCCCGGGGTCTTTCATGCAATAAAATACATAATTAACCTAGCATATCATAACATAGAAGTATCTAAATACTACATACACATACATAAACCTATAAGAATGTCGTGGGCTCCCCCAGGGTCTTACACCATCTTGCCATGGGCTACCCCACATGGTATTTACCTGGGAATGCCATGGACTACCCCACATGGACTTATATCCAACTGCCACGGGCTCCCCCCGGGGTCTTCCATGCAAGTATCACAAAGACAACTAGCATATCACATATCATATAATCACTAGCATACCACTTAGCATAAAGCTAACTATCATACCACATATCTCTACTACATCTAGTGTACCGCATAACATAAAATGGGCGGGCCTTGGTGCCTTAGACCCATTGGTATGGCGAGAAGACTCACCTGGCACTGCTGAAGCTTCCCGCATGAA